TTACATGTGAAAAATTTTGTTGTATATTTGAGGTATTTCAAAAGACTCATAGTCCCACATTGTTTTGTTTTCCTTTATCCAAATAGTAATGTATGAAACTAAGCACAAATTATATATATTAACTCATAATTTGTGCTTAGTTTCATACATTACTACATTTTAATTTTTTGCAACATTTTTCTACTTACATTTGTTAAAATGTTATTATATATATATATATAATAAATAAGTTTATTTTGTAACATTTTTTTTTTGAAAAATGTTATTATAGATAAGTAATATTATTTTTTTTCAATATTATTCTTTTTAATTGTTTCTAAAATTCAAATCTGACATCGAATGAAAAAATATCACATAAAGAGTATACTTCTTTTATTTCTAATTATTTCCCATAATTAAAATTTCACATCGAGTAAAATAAATGACTTATAAAGAATGTATATAATCATATAATTATACTTAAGATAAATGAATTTTGATATTTGATATATAATTAATGATGACTAGTTAAGAATATCTTCAACCTTCTCTTAAGGAACTTGTAAAAGTTTAGGCGACATAAAATATAATAATTAATAGTAACATCTATATTAAAATTAATTATTATTTTATAAAGTTAACAAAAATTTAATATCATTAAAATGTTACAAAAATATCACTTTGTTAATACTTGAAAAATATTGTCTAATTGTGTAAAAAATACTATTACAAGTCTTTAATAACATAAAATATATACAATATTTAATAATATATATATTGTAAAAGTAAATTATCAATATTTATACGCAATTAAATAATATTTTTCAAATATTTTTTTGTGTTGTAGTGACATTATGCAATAATTCTATAAGTAGGCTTCTATTGATATATTTAGTCTTTTTCAATACATTCTTAACTATCCACAGAAAAGTATATTTTTAAAAAATAATAAAATATAATTTATATAACATGATGATAGATATTATTTTTTTTTATATTACAAAATATATTCGTTATAGTTTTATATTTCTTTAATTTTATGATGTTAATGTATATATATAATATTAACATTTATTATGTCAATACATTTAATTAATCCACTTTTATCTCGTATATCATGTCTTGATCAGATACAATTTGTATTTAAACTAAAAATAAAAAATAGAAATCAGATGCCCTAATTTGTCCCACTAACGTACATACCAATAGGGTCCAAAAAATACAAACTACTCATCCAATATCTTTTGTCAAAGATGATGCATCTTTATTGAATATTTGTTGCTGAATTTCGTGCACCACGCTAAAAAAATTGACGTTACACCGTTATTTTGATACTGCTAGATTTTTCTATATACTTAATAGAGTAAATTGTCAGGTTTACTTGCCCTTAATGGGCCCAGCCCAGGCATAAATGTGACATATATAATAATAAATATATGATAAGACATGTGGCCAACTGTCATTCTAATTTTCTGTTTGTTGTATAGTTGTGGTTTTGATCGCCAATTGTGGTTGTTGATCCTGATCTCATTCTTGCCCATCTACAACATCAATAGCTTTTGCTTCTTATTTTGATAAATGTCACAATAGACGAGTATCAATAATACATTTAAACTTCCAAGTAAAATTCATTAATTAAGATCAATAATATAGTTTGTTAAGTACACGACAAGTCGGAATCAAAGAGATACACACAAATTCTCTTTTTTTTTTCTCTCTCTTTTTTCTTTTATAAAAATAATACGATGAGTTTAAATTCGCATGTCTTTTTAACTAGAATTGTCTAATATTGGTGAAGATTTATTCGTGTAACACTTGTGACAATCTACTTTCTTGTTAAATTATTGTTTTCTTTTAATAATTGTAACTTATTTTGGGTGTTGAGTGTTTAGATGTTCTAATAATTAAAGAATTCTCATGAGTTTAGATAGTTTAGAGAATTTTTTTAATCAAAGGTCCAGTTGACTTTAAGGAAAAAAGATATATAAAGTTTCTTTTGAAAACTGAGTTTCATAAACTCATTTTCTCAAGAACCTTAGAGAGAGTGTGTAGATAATTATATGGTTGGTAATTAAGATGCATTGATATGCTATGCATTAATAATATTGTTGGATCTCTATATCCATTGACATAAGATAATGCATATAGATGATGGTTGTTGAGGTGTTGATTTTAAGAATACTATATGCATTAAAAGACTAAAAGAAAAAATATTTTTAAAAGTTGAATATCTCATTATGTGGATATTGAATTGATGTGGCGTTCTAGGAGGCTAGTTGTTGAAAAATCCTCCTAGGTGATAACTCTAGAAGTGAATTATAAAGTCTCCTCTAGATCCTTAGTCAATGTTAGAGTAAGGTATGAAGTCGAGGACTATAATTCTTAACTGATTACTGAAGAGGTGTGTGGTATTACAAGGATACTTAGCCAATTAATTTCATAAATGACTTGGTCAATGAATGTTAATGTTGTGTAGACTTACACCCAAGCTATATTATACTTGATAGTGGTATTTTACTTTCTTAATTTAAGTGAGAACACTTGAGAAATCATGTGATAGAGACTAGTATCTTAATTTAGTTATCGATCTAACAGACATGTAAAGCGTAAAAATGATTAGTTGGTTCGGTAGGGTCAAATCACTTAGACTTTCCATCTTGGTATAGGATATATTCGTAAGTGAATGTGTGATAATGCATTATTTAAGGTGTATGTATATGATGTGTTTACTTATTGATGTCATGTTGAGGCATTTTGTTATGATGATATGATGTGAACCGATAGGTGTTTTATTGTTGGTTTACCCGTGGTATGATAGTTGTATATTGGTTATACTTCTATATTTGCATTACGTTGATTCCTTTGGATATTTAGTTTACCCTTGCATGTTTCCTAATGATTAGACTGCAATGATCATATTTATATAGGAGTTGGGCAGGGTTAGTTGTAGGTAGGCTAGAGTTTTTGTGGGCTATGCTATTAGTAGTGTAACCCTTGACTACTTTTGTACCTTTTGTTACAGATGTTTGATCGACAGCCAAAGATTATCCTTCTAGTTTTGGATCTCTGTACACACAGACATATATATAAATAGAAGATGGACTCACTTATTTCAAGAGTAAGTTCACCTATACTTACTTCACTCAATAACTCGTGTTTTATATCAAATTTTAACGATCTAATTGTTATATGAAATGTTTTTAATGCATTTTTAAAATATTTTAAAAAAACATTATAAATTATTTAAAAGTATTTAAGATAGAGTTTGTAAGTTTTTAAAAACTTTAAAAATTATTTGATGTCCTATTTCGTTGATTCAAATTGACAAATAATCATAAAAATATTTTATATGGTGATTTAAATTAATAAAATAGAGTATCAAATAATTTTCAGATCCTTTAAAACTCTGCAGATTTGATCTATACATTAAGAACTTTTAATTTAACCGTTGAATTGTTAAAATTTGATGTAAAACATAAGTTATTGAGTTGAGTAAATATAGGTAGACTTACTCTTGGAATAAATGAATCCCTCCTCATATTATATGTATGTATATGCATATATATGAGAAATGTTCAAACGACATCGATGTAACTTTTACCAACTATTCTACTACTCAATAACTTTCAATTAAATGTGAAATTTTCAAAATTTACTATTAGATTGAAAGTTTCTTACTCCTAAATTATATATAAAAAATTTTATATTAATCAAAATGATTTGATATCTCATTCTTATAGAATATAATTGACGAAATATATTCATTTCAAAATATACGAAAATATTAATATTTTGATTACCTTTAAATTGTTCGATTTTAACAAATTTTTTTACATAAATATATAAGGTGATATGAAGTTATAATTCAATGGTTGGGTCGACGAAATTCACACTTAATGTAAAGTTATTAAGTCGTATAATAGTTAGTAAAAATTACTTTGATGTTATTTGAACTTTCTCTCTCTCTCTCTCTCTTTATATATATATATATATATATATATATATATAGTTGTATTGTTTTTGCATACATGTATATATGGTTTTGTTGTGATTCAAAAATATGTTTAAGTGTTAATCTTAGGTAATGGTAGTTGTTTTTTATTGCTAGTAAATGATTCCATTAAGTGTAGAATTTATGATGAATCGTTGCAAAACTTACCAAATTTTATAATTTGAATTAATAAAGATGAATTGGTTATGTTATGATATGGAGGTCTATTTCTAAAAAAATTTGGCGATTGTCTAAGTTTAAAATATTTAATAGATTAACATGTCTATACTAGTCCTAAAGTTCTTTTATATACTCGTGTTGCATTTAATCACATGTTCACATCTCGAATCTCTTAAAAATAACCTTGCAAATCTTACTATTATCATTATTAAAGATAGTCTCATAAATCATAATCTTAACTTCTTTATCTCAATCTTGCGTTATAGTCCAAAGTGATCATAATTTACTGAATTAATTTAATGAAAATCACTCAATCTTAGTCAATTGAGTCCAAACGTAACATTAATAAAAGTACAAAATCTTTTAGACAATCTCAACCCATCAGAAATTAGGACAATACACAACTCTTTAATCTTAAATACTAAAATGTCAAAAGATTTGAATAAGTAATTCAGTTAATTAAAAATTTTAAATTACACAATCTCTCAACCTTAAATGTTATGGCGCGAAAAAACTTCAAGTGATTCATCTTACTTAGACAATGCACATTAAAAAGAATATATTAAAAAATATATTAATATCATTTTTTTAACAACAAACCTTCAAAACTTCTCTCGTTTATACTTATACATACCCGAACATGCGACTAGTAGGTAGCTTTAAACCAACTCTTCCCATTCTACTTTTTTATAATAAATATTAGTACTGTCCTAACTTGAAACACGCGAACCACGCTGACTCTCCCTGGGTGGCTGGATGGTTGACGCGTGTAAAATGAAGGATTGAACCGTGAAGATGCAAGTAGCATGTTCGGCGAGTATTACATGGATATATATAACCATGGTTGCCTCGTATCTCATCGATCACTAGTTGCCCCTATAATATATGCTCCTATTATTTTCCATTTCGGATATTAAATAATAAAAATACTTTCCGCATAGTTTTCGATTGATACAGTGCATTGCTTCACTCGCCTCACACCTTCACCTGCTAGATCAAGTTTTCATTTCCTTAACATTATTTCTCTCTCTCTCTCACTCACTCGTACACACACACTCCATGTAACCCACCTCTTATCCATATTCATTCATTCTTCTTCCTCACACATCCTCATCCATTTTCTTTGCTCAAAATTACTTAACCAAATATATATAGCCTTAATTCTACTCCAAAACCGGTAATTGATCGATGGAGGAGGAGTCGGGGGAAAATTGGCCTTGTGATTCTTATTTGGTAAAAGCATGCGCAACACACCATATATACTAGTATATGATTATGAATGATGTGTATCATGTGAATTATGGTGCTACTATATCTAACTCTGGATCTCTCTTGTTTGGTGTGTGTTTTTGTACATAGGAAGTGGGTGATGACGTCAACGAGTTCAGTTTTGATGATGAAGAATTTGGCTTTGGTGGTGGTGATGATGAGGGAGATTCTTTTTCTGAGACCATAGATCCCAAGATGACCGACACAAAGAAGAGACAACAAGAACTCACTAAGAGGTTTCTTGCACTTTCAGCCACCATACCTGGCTTCAAAAAGGTCAGCAATTTTATTAACCACTGTCGTTACATCCTCTCAAAGAGTATAATGATTATGTATAAACAGTTATCGTTATCATTCAATCATATGTCATTAATCATCCTTGATATAATTCTTTAGTTAGTCTTTTATCAAACACTTTTTCTTAGGAAAATGCTAAAGCCAAATCCGAAATATCGTCCAAATTATTAAAAAATTATTTTTTTTAATAAATTTATTATAAAATTATTATTATTTTAATAAATTTATTAAAAATAATAATTTTTTAATAATTCGGACGATATTTTAAATTTTGCTCAGAGCTCTTTTTCTTAATATTTTTATTATTATTAATCAAAATTTATTAAAAATCTCAATTTTTATTTTGCATCTTATTTAATAAATTTCTCTTTATCCAATGATAGAATCTCATCAAAAGTTTTTATTTTTAAATAATAAGAAAAAAAAAGTATTAGAAAGTGTTAGGTGGAGCTACACTAACATTTATTTTTTCAATTATACATATTATAAAAGTTAACGAACTTAATTATTATATACGTACGTTAGTTTGTGATTATGTTTATAAAACTATTTCACATTCTTATTACATAATCAATTTCTCATTTTCTTAACACTCTTTAAAAATATTTCTACATAATATTTTTATAAAAATAAATTAAAGTAATATATGTTTAATGTGATAAAATACAATAACATATACTAGCAATGTAATTTTTTATATTTTTATTTGGTAAATATATTAGCTACACGTTTTTTTATACATAACTTTTTTTTTTATTACTTATAAATAATATAAAATTTAATGAGATTTGAACTTCACTCATAATTTTTTCTAGTCATTTAATAATAAGTTATTAAGTATTCATATTAATGATATTTTTATTAACTTTTATACAGATGCCATATACACATAATAATTCATAATTCATGTAATAATGTACATTATTTTTTATCTATTTTTATTTTAATTTTCTCTCCTAATTATATAAATTGATATTGTTATATACGGAGTGTAAGTATTCATTCTCCTTACTTTATTAAAAATATTTTTAAGTGAAACACATGTATCAATACAAATAGTTATATTAATTGATTTTATTGATTTATAAAACAAAATTCGAATATGTCAAATTTACCCTTAGACTTATCATTAAATTTCTATGAAAAATGTGAAATAATACTCCCATTATCCCATAATAAATGTTGCATTAAAAGAAAAAAATTATTTCAAAATAAGTGTTATATTATCTTTTCAATATAGTATTAATTATTTATTTATATTTATACTCCTAAAAATATAATAGTATTATGCATAAAATGGTTATTGTGTAGCTAGTGTTGCATTGTTTTTTACAAATAAGATTAGTTATAAAGTTACATTTATAAAATTATTATTTTCTTTCATTCATTTATTATTATTTTTAATAAATGTAAAATAATATAGAAAGACACTTATTTTGAGATGTAAAGAATATTTTACTTCAAATCAAAACTTATACACTAATATTAATAAAAATAATAAATGACAATTGAAGAATTTAAAAGATGAAAAAAGTGTTATTTATTTATCAATTTATCTTTTCATTATTCAATAATAAAAAAATACACAGTGGTACAATCTTTAATAATAATACAAGATAAAAATAAATTCGTGTCTCATAAAAAAATTATAATTTTCTTCTAAATTGTGCCATGTAATAGAGAAGAGAAGTTGTATTTCTCATTTTTATAATAATCTTTATAAATAATAATTTAAAATTAATTTACAAGTTACAACCATGTAAAATCTTTTATTCTATTTAAAATAATATATATATATATATATATATATATATATTTAAAGTTGAACTTATTTATTGGAGAATGTGATAAGGTGTGTTATTAAAATGTTCTCCATTAACACACTCAAACGATAGATTTCTTTGCATGTTTATGCGTGTAAAATTCTTTGCGTGTTTATGCGCGAATTTTTATTTATTTATATTTTTTTGGTAATTTCTTCCAAAGTAATATTGCACCCACCTAACAAATGTCCGTACAGCAGGAAAGGTAACACCTATTTTTATCATTCTCCTTCCAACAGAAAATCACAGATCAAATTGTAACCTAAAATTAAATACACGCAAACATTTTGTTTGAAGGAAAGAAAAAGTGAGATGATATGAAGTTATTTAATGAGAAAAAAACTGAAACGGAAAATAAAAATTTATAGATAAATAAAATAAATATTTTCAAGAGATAAATTCAGGATATACGACAGTACGTACGAGAAAAGAGGTTATTAGTTATTGGCTTTATAAAAAAAATTGTTAAAATACTTTTTACTTTATATAATTTTATTTATTTTAATTTTTAATTTTTTTATAATTTAAAGTAGACATTTATTTTAAAGTTCCTACTCATATTTTTTTAAATTCTTTTTGATCTCTATGATTAAAGATAAATCTTTTTAATTTTTATATTTATATTTTTTAATTTTGACAGTTAATTATTTTGTTTTTCATAGACAAGATAGAGAGATATTTAATTTTATATTTTTTATATCAAATTTATTTTATTAAATTTATCTTAATTAAGCTTCTTAGTATTTTATATTTTCTTTTTAATTTTCACGTGGTATATTTATTTTTGAGATATCTATTTTATATTATCATAAAATTACGTCAACATAATTAAAAAAAACATAACATTAAAAAATTAATAATAAAAATTTAAAAAAATTAAAAAGTTAAATATAAAGACTTAAAAGATTAAAAAAATTAAAAATTGTTGAACAAAAATAATTAAAAAATAAATATAAAAACTAAAAATATCTATTTTAAATTATAAAAATTATAAAATAAATCAAATGAAATTATAATATAAAAAAAATAAAAATAGTATAAAAACTAAAAATAATTATTATTGGAGGACCAGACGCCAGACAAGGTTCTGGGTAAACGTGCCTTGTTCAGTTAATACGTTCGAGAGGCTTCAAACTGAAGTTATCATATATTATTGACACTTTAGTCAATTTATTTATTCTGAAATATATAGAGTATATAATATTAAAATATTAAGAGTGTAATTTACGCAAAGATACTGATGAAAATGAAATAAAGCTAGTTGATGTCATCACTCATCCGCTCCTTTATACTTTTTTGAAATTGGCAGCCACTTTTGCGTTATTTATTTAATCATTTTTCTCAATTTCCGTACAATTTAGAAAACCCCAATTCCTGTTCGAGCGTGTAATACAGGGATACATGGGTCCGCAAAAAGAAAATAGGAAAATAATTTAATTATATTTTTATATAATAATTTTGAAACCAACAGGTCAAAATACGATATTTGATACGAATTAGATTGTATTTAATAAAAAATATTTATAATTAATAAAAAAATTATAATACAAGAATACAAATGAGAGAATATATTCAAAGTTATTCTTATTTGAATATTTAAGAATAACAAATAAAAATAAGGTAATATTATTTAAAGACTTTTCTGATTTAATAAATTTTTTTTATAAAAATAATTACAAGGAAAAAATGGTCTCTATGTTGTTTAAAAAATATTAAATAAGTGAATGTTCAGTTAACTTTGTAATAATAAAATAATTGTATGTATTAGTTAATAAATAAGTCAAAAGCTTATATAAAAAAAAGTTAATAGGTAAAAAAGTAAAAAAAATATGTCACACTAAAGTAACACATCACTTTTATTAATTGTTATAGATAATAATATTTTTAAATAATATTTTAAAAAAGAAAATAACTTGATATTTTTATAGTTATTTATTATAATCGAAAATAAAAATTCAGACTAAATATATGCTAAAATTGCCTCCATCATTATCTCGCTCTTTATAGTGTATAAACTGTTTTTAATGGCTATAAATGTGAGTATAATTGAAAAATAGTTATCGATGTTATCTTGAATTAATTTTGAAAAAAAATAGACAACTAGTTGAAAAAGTGTAATTTATATATAAAAAGCATTTAAATCATATAAATTAATTTTCAAAAGAATTATCTAAATACAAACTCAAACCACTGTAATGGATTGTTATCTTAATTTTTATAAGAATTTTATTATTTGAAGGCCATAATTGTTTTACCTTATTTTCAGACTCCTCTTATTTAAAAAACTCTGGTATTTTTAACATAACTAAATTTTAAATATATAAATCACATTATAATTATAAAAAATAATAAATATTTTTAAACATATAAATCATATTTTAATTTTATAATAAACAACTTTAGATTGTGATATACACTGTTATTTTTTAATTGTTAATTCAATATAAAATATTATAATTTAATTTAAAAACAAAGATTAAAAGGATGGATTAAACTTTAGTTATGTTATATTAACATATATATTATCATTTTGCTCTATCTATGATCAAGACTTCCACTGTTAATATAACATGTAAATGGTTAGATGGACAAGACTTCCATTCTGGACAAAGCTAGCAGCTACGTTAGACAGCTTGAGCAACGTGTGAGAGAGTTAGAGCAAGAAGTTCAATCCAACATTTGCAGCAATAACAATGGTTCCACCACCTCTAATGAAGTGAATTCTAACTACCATTACAGTGAAGCAAATGAAATTTCCCCCGAAGTCAAAGTAAGAGTGTTACAGAAGGACGTACTCATCATAATCCACTGTGAGAAACAAAAGGGCATCATGCTCAAAGTTCTCTCATACCTTGAAAATATTAATCTCTCTGTAGTCAACAGCAGCGTCTTGCGCTTTGGAAAATCCACTCTCGACATCACCATCACTGCTCAGGTACACAGTTTGTAAACTAATATGTCTTTCAATCCATTGTAACGACTTTGAATTTGATATTCTGTGTATGCTATTTCAACCCTCTCACGCTCATAATAGTTTAGTCTATAAAACAAATATACTATAAAGAGATCAATACTTCAAGTCAATATAAGATAATCGATTAATATCTGAATATAGATCGCATTGTCCCCTCTTGAGATTTAAAACTTGGTAAACTATTATTTTCATGATATTTTTGTTCTAAATCATTTTTTCTTAAAAGGTTGTGTCCTTTTGTTTATATGTTTAGACACACAACAATATAGGAGTTTAGTCTATAGTTTCTGATGTGCTATATATATTATATATGTATATAATGCAGATGGGTGATGGATACAAGATGTCAGTGGATGAACTAGTGAAGACCTTGAGAGTAGCAATCTTGACTCAGTAGTCTGTGCTAATTTACGTGCGAAACAAGTGCATGCATGAAGTACAAATTGTAATTCTGTTTGAAGAAGTGCTAAACACTCTTTGCACATTCTTTTAAACACACTTGTTTTTTTTTTTGTTTTTTTTTTTTTTTTTTTGTTTTTTTTTATTTTTTTTTTTCTGATGGAGTGAAATTCATGTAAGTTACACCAAACATGTAGGGGTCATGGGTTCCATACTTCCATCCCTAAATTAGTACAACTCACATGAAGTCTATCCGGTAAGAAAAAATATATTAGAAAGAGTGTTAAAAATGTTGGTA